AGCTTCTATTAGAGAATCTACACATATGAGAAATGATGAATTTTTGGTTCTCAAATATTCAAAAAGAATGGGTGCGACTTCTATCAGGGATGTGGCTTCTAATACAGATTTTACCGAAGTAATAACAGAAGGAATACAGTACCTTGTCTAATACCAGAATAACTGGACATCTCTTGATGCTTTTCATCTCAAATTTAGCATCAATCTCATCTCTAAGTGTGAGAATTTCATTGCACATTGTATTGAGTTCATCTGAATTCATTGGTATACCAGTAACAGCTGACAATCCTGACATTATGTGGTATCTATCCAACCATGTCATACCATGTAATAAATACTGTAATGAAAAAGAAAGGCAATGCATATTCAAATTTCGCGGGAACGATGTACTTGTGTTGTGTATGTCACATTAGTTCCTTATCTAAGCTTAGCTTGTCTGTATTTATTTGTTGAATAAGTTGAAAGTATTGTTGACAATGATACTTAATTTAAGTCGACAATGTTCATTGGTTTATTATGTAAAATCATGAAGCTAATGTCCCATGGTACCATGAAATAGCATTATTTTGTGTGTTACAGTTATGCTTTTTGAGAAACATGTCCTAATATTTCTTGAAAATTGCTATTTTTAGAACAATTCCATAGAACACAATGTTAAAGAAAAATTGCATTTTTTGCCACTTTTTAAAACCCATAATTCATAACAAAAAGTACTCCATCATTAACAATATATGAATTTTTCAGCCTATGTCACCAGGCTAGATTTTGAGATATGGCATAATATCTCCGCCATAGAAAAAGAAACTATAATCCTGCCAAAATGGCCACTACCGTAAAAGCTCAATCAATTCGGCCACTCAAATAGTCCGGCCACCTATTTTTTGCGTCATGGTTAATTTTAAAATGTATCCGTTTAGTTTGGCCATCTGTCCAGTCAGTCTATTGTTTGTATTCAATTAGTTCGCCCGGTGATGACACCGCCCGATTTTTACGTCACTCTCTCAACAAAGGTATATTTTCACACATCTATCACGTAAATACAATGTACATGTATAAGCATTTACATCCATGGTATAAGCAATCTGGATATCCGCCAGATGTGCAGTCATGGTGTCAACCGTGGTTGTACAAAAGACATGTGAAATCTCTAGTACGTCCATGGTGAAATATACTCTGTTGACAAAACAGCAGGTGGCCTGGTTGCGTCAGATTTCTTGAACGCGCTTGTAGTTTGTTTTAAAATTGGGTCAAGTCTCAGACTAGTACTACACCTTTACTCTAATCTCGGGAAAACGATATATTTATTCAGTTACCAGTGATACACACTTCGAACCCAGTTTTAAAACGTTGAAAAATTATTCAAACAAATCGACCACTTCGGAAACATATTTTCTATATTTATTCAGTCAATTGGACCACCCCCAAAAATATTTATTTTTACATGGCCGAATTGATTGAGTTTTTACGGTAACCACTGAAATACAACCACCATATTCTCGAAAATTAAAAATAAAATCCAACAAATATACTTTTTTTCCTATAAACTCATCAAAAATCAGTGAAAATAAATTCCATACAAAACGCCCAAAAAACCTTTTCAGCGAAAATGAATTCCAGTGAAAATAAAGTATTCCACAGTAATAGTTTTTGAACTGTTTTCAACATGACATTACTTTGACGACATTTCATGAAACAGAGTAAAACGCATGTATAAGGTACCATGTGTACACAATATGTCAGCATTCAACTCAGTAGCAGAAACACGATCACAAACACAACTTGATCGGTTATTAACACAACCATACCTGTAATAGCTGTGACTGCATAGCTTCAAGTTTGTACAATTTAGTAAACTTTGCTGTAACCATGGTGATGTGTTTGGCAATCTGTTCATCCTCACTTCTGCCCAACAGCAATACTTTCCAGCAGCCGAGTAGTTCATTCTCCATGTTGCTTAGCAACGCCTTAAAAAACAATATCAACAGTTTAGGTTTCGGTGATTGTGCTTATTTTATCTATTTAAAACACTGCACAGCATTCAATTGTTAAACCAATTACTGTAAAATACTTTATTTTCACTTGGAATTAATTTTCGCCATTTTTGCTGAAGGAGTGATTCAGTGAAAATAAAATCCAGTGAATTTACCTTTTTTCCTATATTTTACATTGAACTCGCCAAAAATTAGTGAAAATGAATTCCACACAAAACACCCAAGAAGTCTTTTCAGCGAAAATTAATTCCAATAAAAATAAATTATTTCACAGTATACTTTTACTAAAATCTCGTGATCATGACGATATTGAAATCGTCTAACAAATTTTGAACGGTACCTTCAATCTTGTGTTCAAATCTTCTCTAATTTTCCACCATTTCTTTTTGTTTGTCTCCTTCATGTTTTTATTTTCCACTTGTATCTGTCGGAACTGATCGCTGATGTCACGCAAAATATCACCCTGTGAATAAGAAAAACACTTTTTAATAGTTAATTAGAAAAAAATAAGTGAAAATAACAAACTGCCATTCATCTTAGCTGCTCCCAGAATGTCTTACACCTGCTGGGAGATTCCATTCTGCTGCTGGGTATTCATAGTGTTATGAGGTTTGAGTTACAAGGTTGAAATGTGGTTGATTTCAAAACAGTTTACC